TAATTTTAATACGTATATATGTACANATCGATGTTTTTTCGGCATCCCTACTCCAATAATTTTAATACGTATATATATACATATGTAGTTGTGTGTATGTTTAAGGCAAATTTTCTGTTTTAAAACTAAGTATGCACATGCACTGTAATTTAAAACCTCTGGTTGTTGTGCATGTACTTTAATAAATAAATAAAATAAAATAAAATTGTATGCGTACTTATTTAATCACAGTATTTAAAAAAAGGCTCTATACTATACTTTTTATAACCAGTTCAATACTAACCACATTTGTTCTAGCCCTGAGGTGACCCTTTTTGAACTATTTGGGAACTGTTATATCGTCGGTCCCAACGAAAAGTAGCACATTTCACTATACGCGTGGAAGACTAGCACATTTAATTATTCGCGTCGAAAAGTAGCACATTTCAGATTTTTGCGTGGAATAGTAGCACATTTCATTATTTGCGTGGAAGACCAGCACATTTCAGATTTTTGCGTGGAAGAGTAACACATTTCAGATTTGTGCGTGGATGACTAGCACATTTCAGATTTTTGCGTGGGAAAGTAGCACATTTCACTATTTGCGTGGAAGAGTAGCACATTTCAGATTTTCGCGTGGAATAGTAGCACATTTCACTATTTGCGTGGAAGAGTAGCACATTTAGGGTTTAAACTAAATCATAAACGCATAATTTATATTGGAAATTCAAGTGGTTAATTTATATTTCTTTAATTCTATTATAAAATTCATGAAATTCAGACGGCATATAGCGTTTAGTGATCATTTGCTGGAGATCATCCACTTGTCTTTTTTTTAAGGCATTTTTCCCCTTCAAGCTTTATGCAATTCATATTGTTTTATGGTTAACCATTGAACTTTTGTTTTCAGTATGTTCAATTTCAATTAAAATAAAGTTCATTTAAAAAAAAACTATGTAAACCCACGCTTAAAATTTTGTAGAAATCTAAAAAAAACATCAATAATTTTCATTCAAATTTATTTACTCAGAAATGTTACAATTTTTTGAGTATGAAGCTTTATAGCCAATTCAACTTTAGTGTGATAATGTGCAAGTTTCAAGAGCCGTAAAACCTTTGATTCCTTTCGTCGCATTTGCTACCATATAACGAATAAACACCATTTATTTTTATATGGGAGAAAACAGCAACAACGGAAATTTTTAGCCACTTGAAACTTGCACAATATTGGTAAAATTGAAAAGGCTTTAAATCTATATACTCAAAAAATTCTGAGAAAATAATTTTGACATTTGGATGAACATTTTTAGATTTTTTTAGTTTTCTACAAATTTTTAAATTTGGGTTTACATGGATTTCTTCAGAGAATGAACTTTATTTTAAAGAAAATTCTAAAAAAAAAATAAATAAACATAAGTGGAAAACAATATCACTTTGAAATGAGGTGCTCTCGATGTGACTGCATATACATTAGGGTGGTCCAAAAATAGTAAGTCGGAATTGTAATGCTCTCACCCCCTAGGATTGTTCTATATAGAAAAAAGTGTCTTCCTATTTTTTTATTTTAAAATCAAAAAATATTTAGAGGTCGCTTAAAGCGCTCAAAGTTTGCCATGTATTTTTGTATGCGAAAAAAAAACAACTTTTCGTAGAAATGGTATAGAATTCTTGAAAAATAATATTTTTCGATCGGAAAACTCTGGTTCTCTTCAGGAAACTTACAATAATAATACCCAATTATTTATTTAACCATTTTTTAATACTAACGATTTTTTATTTGTCCCCCCATTGCATTTTTCGGGGTTTTTGTGGGTTTTTGGCGGACCTACAAATCATAGTTGCGATGAAAAAATGGTTAAATAAACAATTGGGTATTATTATTGGGAATCCTGCAGATGAAAAAAGTTTTCCGATAGAAAAATATTAGTTGTTTTGAATTCCATACATTTCTACCAAAAGTTTTTTTCCCCATATAAAATACATGGAAAACTTTGGGCGCTTTGAGCGACCTATAAATATTTTTTGATTTCAAAATAAAAAAGTAGGGGTATATTTTTTTTTGGGTATAGAATAATCCTAGGGGGTGAGAGCATACAAATTCCGACTTTATTTTTTCACATGCATTTTTGGACCACCCTAATGCACATATATGTTTCTCGTATTTATAAATAGATTCCCTGAGGAAGATGCGTCAAAACAAGTAGGAGAAAAATAAACGTTTATTCTATTTGTAATAAAATACCGAAAAGCTCCATACGGGGAGCGGGGAGAAATAATTATAACATACATGTATGTTTTGTTTTTGTACGGCTGCTAGTACCACTTCTATATGAATTCGCTACTCTTCTACGCGAGAATCTGAAATGTGCTACTCTTCCACGCAAAAATCTGAAATGTGCTAGTCTTCCACGCAAATAGTGAAATGTGCTACTCTTCCACGCGAATAGTGAAATGTGCTAGTCTTCCACGCGAAAATCTGAAATGTGCTACTTTTCGACGCGAATAATGAATGCTAGTGACGGAAGTGCGCTAGTCTTCCATGGTAATTTGTGATGTGCTACTCTTCGCTGGGCCGCTGTGGTGTAGTGGTAAGCAGTGCGCGCTTCCACTCCACAATGCCTGGGTTCAAACCCTGGTCAAAGCAACATCGCAAAAATATAGAAAAAAGGTTTTTCATAACAGCGGTCGTCCCTCGGCAGGCAATGGCAAACCCCCGAGTGTATTTCTGCCATGAAAAACAGCTTCTCATAAAAATACAATCGCCGTTCGGAGTCGGCGTAAAACTGTAGGTCCCTCCGCTTTGTGTGACAACATCAAGGCGCACGCCACAAATCGGAGGAGAAGCTCGGCCAAACACTAACATATGTGTAAGCGCCAATCTACTCTTCGCTGGGAGCGACGATATGAACTGTCTCAGAACCATCCAAGCCAGAGTCGGCTCAGAACAAGTTCAAAAGTTCTGCAGAGGGCGACAATTGTCACTTCATAGGACATCGCCACGTTAAAACGGACAGTTGTAAGCATTGAGTTGGGATAAATGAAGAACCAGTACCGTCCCTTGTCAAGCTAGCTCAGCGCAAGTTCGGAACCAGTGTGATTTGCTGCAGGGTACGTACATAAATAAGTATGTATGTAGGTACTCGTATGCATGCGCGTTGAAGATGTTTGTGCTATCGTTTGTATAGCCGTCGTACGTCGCTTTCTTTCTTTTTTCCCCTTCTCTATACAACATCTTTCTTCTTACTCATGTACCATTTTCAGTTTTAAAAATTTCACTCTCCATTTTTGCGATACCGCCGCCTAAGAAGTTTCTCTTCGAAAATACTATCGCCGTTTAGAGTCGACGTAAAATAGTAGGGACCCCCTTTTGTGGCACAACATCAAGGTGCACGCGACATATCGGAGGAGAAGCTCGGCCAAACACTAAGATATTGTGTAAACGTCAATCTATTACTATTTTTACACGTGAGATGTTGACTTAAAACATCGAGACCGCAGGTTCAAATCCCGCTACATGCAATTCAAACGATAGTACAATTCTGTTCTTTACAGCCCAATTTATATCGGGCAGAATTGTTATTCACATTATCTTTTTAATTTGGGTTTACGACATTCGATACGATACTAGGGTTCTGGTACTCGATTCCTAAAAATATCGTGTTAAAACTATCGAGTAAAAAATATCGGTATAGAATGCCAAAAGTATCCATATGGCGTCGTATCGTATCGAAATTCGTGTCCCTAAATATTTCAACGGCTCAACTCTATCAAAAAGCTTATCCCTATATTAAGCAAGTGTCAAAATTATTAATTTAAAAAAAATCAAGCATATATACCAGAGACGTGAAACGGATGAAAAATTTGGTAGGTTCGGTTCAGCGGTTCGAACCGTTTTTGCACTTTTGGATTGGTTCTTCAACAAAGTAAATTTATCTATTGAAAATTGGTTGAAACGAACCTTTAAACCTACATATATGAAAAGTGGTTCAGTTTTCGGTTCGGATCAAACATTTCGGTTCGGTTAATGGTTCAGTTAGTTAATAGAAAAAAACGGTTTTCCAGTTCAAAACCGGTTCGGTTCAAAACCGGTTCACGTCCCTGATACATACTTTGTATGAGAAAAATGCGTGACACAATCAGAAAAAAGCTATTAAAAAATCAATATAGTTTTTGAGCAACTTCAGACTTTCACTGTATGGTAATAAAATTTAGTGGGCTACAAAACTGCATACCACAATTTTATTGAAATTTTTTTGATTTTGTTAATATTTGTATAAAATTTCAATTCTTGAATTGGAGCTGAAAAACTATCGATAGTGACACCATTCGATAGTTTCGAAAGTTTGAAAAATACTATCGATAGTATCGTATACTATCGCGTTGCATATGTAGGGAAACTTCAACTCCGAACAAAATGTGTATAATGTATACATATGTACATATGTATATATGTAAATATAATAATTGCACATAGGTAAATATTCCATCTTAAGCGTGAAATTTTTTCCTTAAATATTTTCCTTAGTTCAATTTTAGCGTCACTTATTTAAGTAAAGATCACAAAATTTCAATGCACCGGCACTATTGAAACTATCGACTATCGCCCAAAAACAATCGATGTTTTTCCAAAAATAAAACTATCGATAGTACATTCGATAGTTTTGCAGCTCTACCTTCAATTAAATAGTTTTTGTTATAGAGTTACGTATATTTCAATTGAAATTAAACACTAAAATTTAAATAGCCAAAACTTGCCAATATATTGTAAAATTTTAATTTTTTTGACAAGCGCTGTATAGTACAAAAGGCACTGAATTTTTGACGAAATAAACAAAGTAACCCAAATGGCAGTGTCTGACTATAATTGCAAGCTTTAAACAAATTTGGCTACGTCTCAGTCAGATTTGCTACATTTTGCGCTACAACCCCACTATTGGGAATTAGTTTCAAATGAAGTGGTTAATAAACATTTACGTACAACTGCACTTCAGGCAAGGGCGACCAAAATACTTTTCACTTACCATAATGTAGGATAACGGTGTTGCTGGAGGAACACTTGTGGCAATTAGTTCCATGTTGTGCAGCCATGGCAATAGACATTGTATTAACAGCGCACGCACCTCCTCCCTCGCCGTCTGGAAGCGATGTGTAATTTCTGTGCCGAGAAGAGCGAAAAAGTTGCAAATAGTGAAGCAATTGAAATCGATGTTGGTTTGAAAAAGGAAAGTTTAAAATTTGCAGAATGAATAAGCAATGGTAATGAATGCGTTTGAAATGTAAATTCTGCGGTTAACTTACCGGAGAACATTGACATGGAGAGTTCAGGGCGAAGCTGAGCCAATTGCTTGGAGAGAAAACGTTGCGAACGACAATACGCACTGCTGAGCAATGTATCCAAAGTGCCAACTTTGTGGTCATCTTCTGAAAGCAATGCAAAAGGAAATTCTGGAGTTAGGTAACTTATCAAACAAATTTAACATATATATATTATAATATACATATGTATACATGTAGAGAAAACTTAAACCTAATTTGGCAGACATTAACACGAAGTTAAAATTATCAAAAAATTATTCCCACACGTCCTTCCTTATGAAATTCAGCGTCGCGACTGATTGCAGCAGCATTTAAATTGATAAACTTTGAGAAAAGCTTTCATGGAAGGCAAATAAGCAATATCGTATCGCAAACTCCTATACTGCACGGGGGACGTCGCGCTCGCGTTCCCCGCTCCACCCCTCCTTTCACAACTACGCACTGGTGGCATTATAACCGTTTAGAAAAAAGAATAATAATAAAATAACACTAGTTCACTTCATAGGAATTATTGTGTATGGTGTTATTGCATGCATCAAAAAATAAAGTGAGAAAGCCGTTTTATTGCTTCATCTGTTTATTGCGACATCGTTCCATGCATACATTTTAAGGTTTT